CGGTGGAAGGATCTCCGGAGCCCAGCAGGTTGAGGCTGTGGTAGCCGGGAGCGGCCACTGCACTCCAGTCTGGGCGACGGAGTGAGACTCCAACTCAAAAAAAGAAAAAAAAAGAAACAGCTTTATAAAATAAGACTTTATGGTCAGGCACAGTGGCTCACGCCTGTAATCCCAGCACTTTGGGAGGCGGAGGTGAGAGGATTGTCTGAGCCCATGAGTTTGACACCAGCCTGGGCAAATTGGTGAGACCTCGTCTCTACAATAATTTAAAAAAATTAGCAGGGCGTGGTGGCACACACCTGTGGTTCCAGTTACTTAGAAGGCTGAGGCAGAGGGATCGCCTGAGCCCAGCAGGTTGAGGCTGCAGTGGCCATGAGTGGGCCACTGCACTCCAGTGTGAGCAACAGAGTGAGACTCCGACTCAAAAAAAAAAAAAAAGACTTTATTATCCTTTAGCCCAGTGGATCTCAACCAGGGGTAATTTTGTTCCCCAGGGGACATTTGGCAATGTCTAGAGACATTTTTGATTCTTACAAGCAGTGTCTAGTGGGTAGAGGTCAGGGTTGCTGCTGAACATCCTGCAGTACGCAGGACATTTTTCTATAAGAAAGAATTTTCTGGTCCAAAATGTCAGTGATGCTAAGATTGAAAAACTTGCTTTAACCTTTAGGTTATCTAAAACAGCAGAATCACCATCAGTCAATAAGCAAAACCAATTTGGTTTTAAATTGCTTTTTGAAAAAAATGTGGTACATATACATGATGGAATATTCACCAGCCATAAAGAAGCCATATGAACTTCACAGAAACTTGGATGGATTTAGAGTCTGTAATACTCAGTGATCTATCACAAAGAAGTGAGTACCACATGTTCTCACTCATAAGTGGACCCTGAGCAATTATCATAATAATACAAGAAAGGGATTGGCAGTAGTGAGAAACTGCCAGGGGAGGAGGAGGCACACTTCATCAATAAGGGTACCTGATTTCAAGCCAGGTTAAGTGGGGACCAAAGTGAGGTCCAAACTTTACCTGTACAATGACCATTTGTATACCTAACCCTGAATTGTACCCTACATCTTTTAAAAAGATATATATATTTTTTTCTTTTTTTTTTATTATGATGTTGTGGGGTACAGCTAAGGGTTAGGTATACAATTACATTTCATTCAGGCACCCTGTTGATAAGAGGTGTTTCCCCATCCCCGGACAGATATTTGCTACTGTTAATCCCATCTCTCTCCCCCGCCCCATAGTTTCCCAGTACCGTCAGTCATTTTCTTATAGTATTGCATTGGATGTTCAAGGTCCATTATATGAGTGAGAACATGTGATACTCGGATCTTTGTTTCTGTGAGAGGTCACTCAGTATTATAGACTCTAGTTCCATCCAGGTTGCTGCGAAATTCATGATTTTGTTTTATTATGGCTGCGTAGTATTCCATCGTGTATATGTACCACATTTTAAAAATCCAGTCCTCTTTTGATGGGCAGCATGGTTGCTTCCAGGTTCTTGCTATTGTGAACAATGCTGCGATAAACATATGTGTGCAGGTATCTTTTTTATAGAGTGATTTGAGTTCTTCAGGATATATTCCCAGTAGGGGGATTGCGGGGTCATATGGGAGGTTGATATTTAGAGCTTTTAGGAATCGCTACACTGCTTTCCACAGAGGTTGCACTAGTTTACACTCCCACCAACAGTGTAGAAGTGTTCCCTTTTTGCCACACCCTCTCCAGCAGCTGTTATTTTTTGAGTTGTTGATAATTGCCATTCTGACTGGAGTTAGGTGGTATCTCAGTGTGGTTTTGATTTGCATCTCCCTGATGATTAGTGAGGTTGAACATTTCTTCATGTGTCTGTTGGCTGCTCGGATGTCTTCCTTTGTGAAGTGTCTGTTCATATCTTTTGCCCATTTTATAATGGGGTTGTTTGTTTTTTTCTTTTCAGCACGTTTGAGTTCCTTGTAGATCCAGGATGTTAAGCCGTTGTCGGACCTGGTGTTGGCTAATACTTTTTCCCAGCCTGTAGGCTGTCTCCCTGCTCTCTTGATGGTTTCTTTGGCTTTGCAGAAGCTTGTCAGTTTAATAAGGTCCCATTTGTCTATCTTCTCTCTTATGACCTGTGGGTTTTGGGTTTTGTTCAGGAATTGGATGCCAGTTCCGATTTCCATGAGGGTATTTCCTTCATTTTCTAAGGTTCTTATGGTTTGAAGTTTTACATTTAGGTCTCTGATCCATTTGGTGTTTAACCTTTGTGCATGGAGATAGATAGGGGTCCTGTTTCAATCTTCTGCATGTGGTCAGCCAGTTTTCCCAGCACCATTTACTGAGTAGGTTCTCCTCTATATTTTTAAAGATGTGGGGTACAATTCAGGGTTAGATATACAAATGTTCGTTATGCAGATACCCTTGTTGATGAGGTGTGCCCCTCCCTCCCCTGACAGTTTCCCTTAACTACCAATCCCACCTCCCTCCCCTGGTAGTTTCCTACTACTGCCGATCCCTTTCTTATAGAATTATGATAATTGTTCAAGGTCCACTTATGAGTGAGAACATATGTGTACCCTACATCTTTAAAAGAAAAAATTAAAATAAATAAATAGCTTTTTGTTACTTACATAAATTTTATCATGAGTTGAAAGCAAAGAGTATGACGATTTTCCTTGTATGAGCAGAGCTAGATGATTGAGATTTGGCCACAACAGCAAATATAACTTTAGTGCATGCAGGACTAAAATGTATAACTCAGAAAAGAAGTGATTTTACATATGTTTGACTCTCACAACTATCAGCATTACCCTTCCTAAGGTAATTAAGGTCAAATAAATGTGACTTTGCCAGGGTCACAGGAATAAGTGTGAGCAAAGCTGGGACTGGAAACCAGGTCTTCTGATTTCTAGTTCAGTATTCTATCCACTCTACAGTTCCTATTGGCAGTTGTTAAATTCTACTCAGGAGCCAGGGGCAAGTCTATTGGTTTGGAAGGAACATCACATTACTATTCTTAGGAGAGTTTTTGGGTATGAGGCAGGTGTACAAAGTGTGTTCTTTCTAATTATGATCCTCTATGGAAGAGAGTGAAGCATGGCACTGGGACAATCTGTCCTTTCACCTGGTTCAGTCTCCCCTCCTCTCCATGTGTCACTTGGCAAAAGACCAGTCACCCTAGGCAGAGTCATCAGACCTCTTCAGCATGGTGGCAAATACGATGGACATGGAATGATGAGGCTCAAAGAGTGACAGGAATTAACGAGGGAATTAGAGGAATAGAAGTCAAAGCTGATGGGGGAACAGTATCAGCATTTAGACATGGATCTGGATTTTAGTTATGGCATCTTAAAAGTGAGAAATGTAAGAGTTGAAATGAAAGCATGGCTGTTTTTCTTTTTGAGAAACTGGCCTACGGCAGGTCTTTCTGCTATGAATCTTCCTTTCTCTCTCTCTTCTTCTCCCTAATAAACTCTGCTTTAAAACTTAAAAAGAAAAAAAAAATAAATAAATGAAAGCACAAGGGAGATTTTGATAAGAAAGGGAGTATTTGCAGTTAGTAACTAAGAGGAAGAAAATGAGGAAAGAGATAAGAGGTTTTCTGCAGAAAGGAAGAGATGGAGTTAAAAGATTATTTTATTTACCTAAAAAAGTCACTTATCTAGTGCTATTTATTAATCCTCACAATCACTTTTTGAGGTAGGTGCTATTATCATGCTCATTTTACAGGTGAGGAAACTGAGGCATGGCAGGGTTAAATAGCTTACCTAAGGTCACACAGTTGGGAAGCAGCAGAACTGGGATGCAAAACCAGGCAGCCTGGCTTCAGAATCATGCTCTTAAGCACTGTGCTGTGCTACCTTTATGGTTAAAATTTGGAGGTGGAGAGAACTGTTTGTTTTAGAAGCAGGGAGTAAGAACTGCTCTAACGCCCATGGGAGGCAGAATGAGTCAGATTTAACTAGCCAGATGGCAAAGCTAAGTAAGTAAGGAGGGTGGAGGGGGGCTACGTTAAAATTTCTTTGAGAATACTTGTTTAAAATGAGGATGAAATTAAGAAAAGACTCATTTTCAGAGAGAAAGTCAATGTGCTTCCCAAATGTCCTCCTTAGCACATGCTCCCTGACCCTGGAGAAGAGGAAATGAGAGGCCTGGGGAGGGGACATCCAAGACCACACTGTGCAAAAGGCACAATGTGGAGAAAAGAGAACGGCCCAGGGAGGGGAAGGTCTGGAATAGGGCTGTGTGGGGGTCTTCCTTACGTGTTACCACGTCATGCCAATTGTGGGTGATAAACCAGGGAACAAGAGGGACTAAAAAATCCAGAGTGTGAGTGAGGACAAACTTGAGGAATTAGGGCTGGAATCACAGTGTAGGTTACAAAGAATTCTTTTTTCTTTTTTTTTTTTTGAGTTGGAGTCTCACTCTTGTCGCCCAGGCTGGAGTGCAGTGGCACGCTTCTGGTCACTGCAGCCTCCACCTGCTGGATTTAGGTGATCCTTCTGCTTCAACCTTCCAAGTAGCTGGAACTACACACGCCACCACATCCAGCTAGTTCTTTTTGTGATTTATTGTAGAGATGAGGTCTCACCAAGTTGCCCCAAGCTGGTCTCGACCCCACGGGCTCAGGCAATCCTCTTGCCTCGGCCTCCCAAAGTGCTGGGATTACAGGCTGAGCCACTGTGCCCAGCCTACAAAGGATTCTTAACCTGAGGTTTATGCACCCCCACAAAGGGTCTGTAGATAGAATCTGGAGGTGTATGTGAATTTAGATAAACTTGTATCTTTATTTTAACTAACCTCTAACTGATATTTAGCACTTCCTTCAATTATGAATGTTGACAACAAACCACAGTAGTATCAGCAGAAATTGACTTTGTCACCAGTAGGAATCACACATACTTCCATATTACCTTATAATTGCTATAGATATCTTGAAATATTATTTACATTTATCACGACTTTGAAATTATGGTGGTTATTAGATCACATTATTAACTAGCACAATTTTGGGATTTTTCATATTTTGAGAACTATATCTAAATGTAACTGATTTTCCTTATAATTCCATTTATTTTATGTATTAAAAATTATTCTGCTGGGCAGAGTGGCTCACACCTCTAATTCTAGCATTTTAGGAGGCAGGGGCACGAGGATTGCCTGAGCCCATGGGTTCAAGACCAATGTGGGCAACATGGCAAGACCTTATCTCTACAATAAATTAAAAAATTAGCTGGCGTGGTGGCGTGCACCTGTAGTTCCAGCTACTTGGAAGGCTAAGGTGGAAGGATCGCCTGAGACCAGCAGGTTGAGGCTGTGGTGGCTGTGAGCAGCATGTCACTGCACTCCAGCCTGGGCAACAAAGTGAGACTCCGACTCAAAAAAAAAATTTATTCTGGCCACAATGACAGTAGACAACAGTCTCTTCAACATATTGTGCTGGGAAAACAGACTATCCACGTGTAAAAGAATGAAGTTGAACCCTCACCTCATACTATATACAAACATTAATTCAAAATAGAGCACAAACCCAAATTTAAAGAGCTAAACCTATAAAATTCTTGGAAGAAAACATAGATGAAAGTATGCATGATCTTGAATTTGACATAGTTTCTTAGATATGATTTCAAAACTCCAGGCAACAAAAGAAAATATAGATAAATTGGATCTCATCAAAATGAAAAACTTTGCTATCAACAGAGTAAAAAGACTGCCTACTGAATGGGATAAAATATTTGTAAATTATGTAAGATTTGCAGACTCTTATCTGATAAGAGTTTAATATCCAGAAGTCATAAAGAACACCTACAACTCAACAACAGAAAGACAAACAACCTAATTTTAAAAGGGCAAAGGAAATGAATTGGCATTTCTCCAAAGATATGCAAATAGCCAAAAACACATGAAAACACACTTATCATCTTTAGTTGTTAGAAAAGGCAAAACAAAAACAAAAAAATCACAATGAGATGCCATTTCCCACCTACCAGACTGGCTATAACCAAAAAATGGAAATTAACAAATATTGCAGAGGATGTGGATTGTAGATTGCTGATGGGAATGTAAAGGGCAGCTGCTGTGGAAAACAGTTTGGCAGCTCCTTAAAAAGTTAAACATAGATTTCCCATATGCTCCAACAATTCCACTCCTAGGTATACCCCTAAATAATTGAAAACAGACTGGGTGCGGTGTCTCATGCCTGTAATCCCAGCACTTAGGGAGGCTGAGGCAGGAGGATTGCTTGAGTTCAGGAGTTGGAGACCAGCCCAGACATTGTCTCTACAAAAAAGTTTTAAAAAATTAGCTGGGTGTGGTAGTGTGCAACTGTAGTCCTAGCTACCTGGGAAGCTAAGGGAGAAGGGTTGCTCCAGTCCCTGAGGTGAGCTGTGATCATGCCCCTGCACTCCAGTCTGGACAACAGAGTGAGACCTTGACTCAAAAAAAAAAAAAAAAAAAAAAAAATTGCAAACAGACCCAGTCTGCCAATGTTCACAGCAGTGTTATTTACAATAGCTAAAAGGTGGAAACTACTCAAGTGTTCAATAACAAATGAATGGATAACCAAAATGTGGTATATAAATACAATGGAATACTATTCAGCCATAAAATGAAAGAAAGTACAGATGCATGCCAGAACAGGGGTGGTTAAGCCAAGCACAAAAAGACTGACATTGTATGATTCCACTTAAATGAAAGAGCTAGAATAGGCAAATTCATAAAGACAGAAAGTAGAAGAGAGGTTACCAGAGGCTGGGGGGAGGGGAAAATGGGGAATTATTGCTTAACAAAGTTTCTGTTTGAGGTGATGTAAAGGTTTGGGAAATAGATAGTCGTGATGTTGCACAACATTGTGAATGTTGATCATGCCACTGAATTGTATATTTGAAAGTGGTCATAATAGTCAATTTTATTATACACATATTTCACCACAATAAAAAAATTGTTAAATCCAAAAAGAGATTCATTAGCTTCCTCAGACGGCTAGAAGGTTCAAAGCACAAAAACAGGTTAAGAGCCCCTGGACTACAGGACCTGACTAGTCACAGTGAGTATCAGAGGTGGTGGGTGGTTGTGTTATACATGAATGACTGTGTGTACTGTGTGGGCACTGTTGGATATAAGATGAGAAGTAGCTCGTTCTGCGGCCATTATTAATCTACCATGGTTGTCTTATTTTTTGTCAGGAGACCAGTAGGGGTGGTTAATTGAACCATGTATTTATTAAATATCTCTGGATATGGTGGGGACACCCAAGCTCTTTATGTCCACGAAGCTTACAATAAAAAAATGTGCTACAAGACCAAACACACACACACACACACACACACACACCCTGAAAAAATTACACCATAAATTGCAGGGTTCTGATTATGGGGAATTCAGAGTAGGAAGACAGAAGTAAGTACTAAAGGAGTCAGGTTAGGTTTCAGTCCTGCCTGGGTTAGGGGGATGCACACACCGGCACTGGATATGGTGTCTGGAGTGGGTGACTTCGGTGTTTCCGTTCCCAGAAAAAGGTAACTTCCTTCTGTGTTCCTGTTGAAAGTTCTCCTCATTGTACACGTCTCGCTGAACATCGTAGGTGAAATAATTTGGCCTGTACTTAGAGTTTAAACCAGAGATGGTGCTGTTTCTCTCTAGCTGCATTGTTCCTGGATGAGTAGAAAGAGATCAAATAAAAAACTGGTTAAATTTCTAGATCCTCAGCACATTTTTAAAGAAATAAGATTTCCATGTGATATTTTATACTTGCATAGCATGTTTCAGTTTTACAAAAGTCTTTCTCAATGTTGTACATGTATGTGTATTATTCTCATTTTCTAAATGGAGAAAACAATGTGCAGAAGTTTAAGGGGACTTGGGTTGTTTAATAATAATTAGAGCTGGTACTAGAACCCGAGTGTCCAGCTAGGAAGTCTAGTTTTCTTTATATTCACCTGTGTTGCTATGTTGCAGGAACATGATTAACAGGTAAAAGTCAGTATTAATCATCAATTTTTATGGAAAATGCTAAGGGTTAAGTGATCAATAGTGTCTTCTAATGTCTCTATCTAAAATAGCATCTATCCTTATATCTTTACTCCTTACTTTTCTTCACAGCACTTGCTGGCACCTGACTCATTGTTTGTTTGTTTGTCTATTGTCTGTTTCCCCCATAAAATGTAAGGCAAGGAGGAAGGACTTTGACTCCTCATGGATGTATTCTCAGGGCCCAGTTCAGAATAGTGCCTTCCACTTAGCAGACCCTAAAAAAATATTTCTTGACAGACTATCAAATATCCAGTTAGTGGCCTCATGGTATCGTAGAAAAAGCAGTGCATAGGATATGAGAAGCCTAGAGTTTTAGTCCTGGCATATTTTCTAATTAGCTGTATAACTAGGGGTGAGTTTCTTAGAAACTGAATTTCAGTTTCCTTGTCCATAAAAAATGACATGGTTGGACAGCATGCTCTCCAAGGGCTGCTGTAAGCTTTAAAAATCTATATTATCCTGTTCTTTTAAAATAGTGAAAAAATAAGAGTTAACGCAGGCGGTTAGGGAACCATCTCTGGAAGAAAGTATAACCTTTATTAATCATCTGTGTTTTTGAATCATATAAAGCATAAACTCTAAAACTCTTCCACATAAATATGAGAAAGTATTTATATCACATACCTATAAAATATATTGGTAAACATTCAAATTATGAAGATTACATAAATGGTTTTTATGGGTAAAGTTGCAAAAAAGTTCAATGTGTCAGCAAAGTTTATTTTCCTTTAGAATGAGCATTATCATCATCACCAACATTTATCAAACATTTATTATATGCCAAGTATAAAACTAGATTTTTTTCATGAGTTATTTTATTAAATTCCCACAATAACCCCATAATTTTAAAATAAAAAAAATTTTTAAAGTTAAAAAAAAAATTCCCACAACATTCCCAGTACTACTATTTCCCCCCACTTTGTAAGTGATAAAACCGAGGTTTTTAGAAAAGTTAAATTATTGGACCACAGTTGTATATTGTATTTTTAACTCCCAAAGCGTTGGGTAGCAGCAGTATGCTGTATGACATCTATGAACCAAAAATCACAGTTTCACGAAAGCTGTGAGAAGGTGACTGGGGAATACTGAAAAAGATGGGAGGAGTATTTACAAAATATCACTTAAGAGAATCAGAACCAAAAAGAAAAAGATGTAGAACTGTACACTGAAATGTAAAAAATATTTCCTCTTTCTTTCCCCTACCCAAAGGAATACTGACCCAATCTTCCTTACCTTCCCTATGTAATCTTCCAATGCATTTCCATTACTCAAGTGCATTTGTTCCTGGCAACCTGAAAGAGCCTAAAATTAACCTGCTAATGATAAAATTGCTATCCTGGTCATATCAGGGGTCTAGAACCCAGCATTTTGTTCTGAAAGTGACAGTAAGACAGAGTTGGTATGAAACAGGCAATGCAGGAATGTCAAGGAGTGGCAGAACAGTGGGGATTGGTAAAGGCAGCAGCAATAATTTAGCTCTGGCATTTGTGGCCAGGAGTCAATCTGGCATGGCCAGATCTGACCTTTTCCAAGAGAAGCCATAATGCCAGATTTTTTTATGTGACATCTTATTTTATATATTTATTTATTTTTGAGTCAGGGTTTCACTCTGTTGCCCAGTCCAGAGTGCAGTGGCATGATCACGGCTGCAGCCTTGACCTCTTGGGCTCAGGCAATCCTTCCGCCTTAGCCTCCTGAGTATCTGGGACTATAGGCGTGCGCCACCACACCTGGCTTTTTTTTTTTTGTAGAGATAAGGTTGCTATGTTGCCCAGGCTAGTGTCGAACTCCTGGGCTCAAGCAATCCTCCCACCTCGGCCTCCCCAAGTGCTATGATTGCAGATGTGAACCAGGGCACCCAGCAGAATTTTCTTTTAAATTCAAATTGTTGATTATTTTATATTATTTTAAAAGCCACAGTACACATCTAACAAACACCTCTCCAGGCCAGATTTGGTTTGAGAACCAACAGTGTCTGACCTCTTGTTGTTGAAGACACAAAAATATCCTCATTTTCTCCCATTACAGATTATAGTTTATCTCCTAAAACTTTTTCTCTTTTGAAGCTGGAGTATTTATATTTTCCGTTATTGTAACTTTGGGAGATACTCTATCCCATCTGTTCACTTACAGAAGAAGTATTTCATTTTATTGTCTTCAGTTTATATAGTTTGTATTTCAAGAGGAGATTCCCACCTACTAGACTAGAATTTGGTGAGTCTGCTTTTATTTTCACAATTTTATACATTTCTATCATATTCACTCTTGGCCTTTATTTGTTTCAGATTAAAGAATGCTACTTCATCTTTGGTCGATTAATTTAGTGTTCCACAAACAGTTGTTGAATGCTATGTGTTCTAGGGATAAAAAAAAAAACTATAATTTAGTAGAATAACAATACCAAAATCCTGTATAGTGCTGCAAGAGTTTAGAGATAGGAAAGACAGGAATTAACATTTATTGCAGGCCTGTCATATACCAGTTTCTTCCCACACATCATCTCAAGAGGTAGGTACTATTTTCCTGATACTTATTATATACTCATTTTACTGATGAGTTTAGTGAGTTCCTCAGTCATACAGCAATTAAATTAGCAGAGCCAAAATTTGAAACTCATCTTTCTGATTCGAATAGATGCCACATTCTAAAACCATGTGATCGCCTACAGAATGAGATTAATAATTCCAGCATAGAGGGATGGAGAAGGCCTCCTGGGGAGGTCTGATTGAAGCTTCATCTCAAAAAGGGAGAGGGAAGAGGAAACGGTATTTCATGGAAAGAACAGGATACAATTATGTAGATGATACAAAGCAAGGAATTCAACAGATCTTAGTAAAGTCAACTTAAGAACCCTAAAATGAATTGAGACCTATCCTCGGAAGGGTCTTGAAAGCTAGATTGAAGCTGCCTTTTTAGTTATTTAAAGTCTTTGAGCAGGAGTAGTAATATTCATGGAGATGCATTTTGGGAAGATGAAATGCGGCAGTGCTATGGTCTAGAGCTTTCTTGTCCAGTATAGTAGCCATTACCTACATTTGGCTATTTATTTACTTACTTATTTAATTGAGACAGGTTCTTGCTCTGTGGCCCAGGTTGGAATGCAGTGGCTTGATCACAGCTCACTGCAGCCTCAAACTCCTAGGCTCAAGTGATCCTCCTCTCTCAGCCTCCAAATAACTGGTACTACAGGTGGGCAACCACCATGCCGGTCTAATTTTTTTTTTTTTTTTTAAGAGAAGGAGTCTCACTTTTTTGCCCAGGCTACATGTGGTTATTTAAATTTAACTTAATTATTAGCCAGGCGTGGTAGCGTGCGCCTATAGTTCCAGCTACTTGGAAGTCTGAGGCGGAAGGATCACAGGAGCCCAGCAGGTCGAGGCTGCGGTGGCCGGGAACGGCCACTGCACTCCAGTCTGGGTGACAGAGTGAGACACCAGCTCAAAAAAAAAAAAATTTTTAACTTAATTAAAAGAAAAGAAGGCCAGGCATGTTGGTTTAAACCTATAATCCCAGCACTTTGGAAGGCCAAGGTGAGAGGATTGCCTGAGCCCAGGAGTTTGAAACCAATCTGGGGCAACTTGGCGAGACCTTGTCTCTACAATAAATTTAAAACAAAAAATTAGCTGCGTGTGGTAGCATGCCCCTGTAGCTCCAGCTACTTGGATGGCTGAGATGGAAGGATCGCCTGAGCCCAGCAGGTCGAGGATGCGGTGGCTGTGAGCGTGACACTGCACTCCAGCCTGGGTGACAGAGTGAGACTCCAATTCAAAAAAAACAAAAACAAAATCAAAAATTCAGTTCCTCAATTGCACTAGCTACATTTTGGATACTCAACAGCAGCATCCAAAATGACCTTACTGAGGAGACAGATATAAAAATATTTTTATCATCACAGAGAGCGCTATTGGACAGTGCTGGAGATAGAAACTGAGGCAAAAAGGTCAATTGAAGACAATATTACTGTAGTCTAGGGGAGAGGTTATCAAGTGGTAAACTCCTGGAGGGGAGTTGAAGTTGTCTTTAAAAGAGTCATTATAAGCCGGGCTTGGTGGCTCAGCCTGTAATCCCGCGCCTTTGGGAGGCTGAGGTGAGTGGATTGCCTGAGCCTGCGGGTTCGAGACCTGCCTGGGCAACTTGGTGAGACCTCATCTCTACAATAAATCAAAAATTAGCCGGGCATGGTAGTGCGTGCCTGTAGTTCCAGCTACTTGGAAGGCGGAGGCGGAAGGATCGCCAGAGCCCAGCAGGTTGAGGCTGCAGAGTGGCTGGGAGCGGCCACTGCACTCCAGTCTGGACAACAGAGTGAGACTTTAACTCAAAAAAAAAAAAAAAAAGTCATTACAATTCTGGCTAACAGGAACAAAGAAAACACATTATTTCCTTATTGTTTTGTCTTAGTAGTCTTCTCTGGAATTTCTCCGGCTCCATTAAATCTTTCTTAGTTTCACAGAAACCCTAGTGGCTCCTTTCCATGTAAGAACAGGACTCTTCCCAGCATAATGCAATGAATAGAAGCTCCTACTGACAAGTAGGCCCCACCTCGCAAGACCTACTAAATCAGAAACTCTGGGGGCCCAGCAGTCTGGTTTAGGTAGTCCTTCAGGTGATTCTGATAC